CCAAGGGGGTCGAGCAACTTCTTGATGGAAGTCATTAGTTGCACCTATCCAAACAGGTTTTGTGTTTAGGCACTCTATGTGCAGCAACCATGTCATCTAAAGAAAACAAAACCAATGCAAGACATTTCTCTTGTTGTGAATCCAGAAAATACTCACAGTTTCAGGTGATTTGCTGTAAAAGATCTTATTAGCTTTCATCAGTCCCAGCCCATGCTCTGCACTTATGCTTCCCCGGTGCTTAGATGTCCATTCATAGACATAAGGCTCAATCTGAGCCAAAATCTGTGACATCAAGGAGAGATGATTAAATGTACGGAAGCAGTTCTTCCAGGTATGTAGAAGGAACTTACCTTATCATCATACTTTGGAGCTGAAATATCAAGATGTAAATTTGCATCCCCTAGGTGCCCATATGCAACGACTCTGGCCAAACCACCTGAAAAACAGCGATACAGATATTTGAATAAAAGTTTCTCCATGACATACTAGATGTCCACTAACAGTACAGTCAAAACACCCAGAAAGCAGATATCATATGTCAAATGTAGAAAAAATGGCATACTTTGCATTGCAAAATGAGAAGGAAGAAAGACGTTAAATTATGTAGTTAAATCAAAGTTGGCTCACCAAGTCTCGCTCGCATATCCTCCACAAGATTGTACATCTTTTCAACAGGTAATGATAAGTCATAGTTGTAATTAACCCCTGCTTTATTCAATGCTTCTGGCAAACCCTGTAGCAATACAAAAAGAACCATGTTAATGCAGCAGAGATAAATAACCAGGGACAGAAGCAAGATCATTCTCGGTAGCTTATCATTTTAATTCTCATGAATACGGTTCAAATCACTTCAGAATTTGATAGAGCATATCCCAACAATAAAAAATTAACAATTATAAAGAATGGTATAAAAAACACATATGGTGTTGAAAATAGATACCTCACGTATTCGCCAAAATGAGGATGCTTGGTTAATATCTTGTGCAACTACACCATCAGATATTAAACCACCTTCCATTGAGCTTAGTAAGAAGGCCTCAAGTTTCTCCCTGCAGACATTCTTAGGAAAATCTTACATCAAAAGGATTTTTTTTATCAGGATTAAGTAAGAAGGATATAGTAGTGCACCAATGAAACAGAATGTCCTAGAGACTACAGTGGGTCCAGAATAACTAAATCTTATCTGGTTATACTTCTCTGGAAATCATTACACAATTCAATTAAATTTAAGTTTGCAAGATTATCACCCTTAGAATCATTAAAGAAAATAATGGAACCAGATCAATTTGTTAGTACAACCAAACTGCCAGAATGTTAATGACCTTTAGTTCAAAAGTGTAGTTATGTTGGTTGGATTAATGATGCTAAATGGAGAAATGGAGTTTCAGAAAATAATTCATTTGGAAAACACACTATTACTGAAGTTATTTTATTTCAATGGTTTAATAACGAAACGAAAAAGAAGAAAATCAACTTCCATTCAGGATCAAGCAAAGGGGGATAAGATAGATCAGAAACCTAACACAAAGCAAAATACAGGGAAAAAGAGCTTATATCAATAAATAAATAAATAAAGCAGCCAGAGACATTACTTGTCATAAGATTCATTACTGCCTGTTGTCTCAATCAGAACATAAAAGTTGTGAATTGAAGGAGGCAATGGATTCCGGGCTCCTTCTAAATGATTTAGAGCCTTAAAATTAAAACACAGCAAGTACAAATTAGATATATTAGAAAAATATCATAAAACAGTAACAGCCTCCAGCTTCAACCATTCAGAATATATTTGCATTGTCACACATCAAATAAAATAATAATAATAATTTTTTAAAAAAATGACAGTAAATGGTTTAGCATCTATGATACTTGCTTCATGGTTCACAGAAAAAAGAAAAAAAAAAATCAAAGTTTGATACAGAAGGCTTACTAAATCCATTGCTTCGATATCCAAAAATTCAAAAACAGACAGAATCTCCCCAAGTTTCCTTTTTGCCTCTTGTAAAAGTCTCTGATAAACAGGACAAGTAATGAGCTAAGAAGGTGCAAAATTGTACCTTATACAGATGAGTAAGTGGTGAAAAGAAATCACAGAGAAGGAACAGCAACATGAATTTTTAAAATTTTGAAGATAAAATTAAAAATGCGAGACAATCCCATCATATTCATGAAATATGTGGGACATAGGGTCCCAACTATATCCCACCTATCATGTGGCTATTATTGGACATCCTGGAATTTTTTAATGCCAGGATGTCCTAGTTTTCCCTTTTCCCTTAAATACAGTTACAGCTGATGTAACGCCAGTCTTCTTTATAATGGTAAGACTAGAAATGCTGCGAATTGAGAAAGAGCTTATTAGCTTATTCCAAATTCATTGAAAGAGGAAATCTTTATCTTCTTGTCCTAAATTGGCACATCTATCCTTTGTGCCTCTCTATATGTATTTAGCAACTTTACGGAAATTTGTATAAAAAGAGAAACATTTTGTCTTGCTTCTTTAAAGGATAGAAAAACGAAAGTTTTATCTATCTAACTAGGCAAGATCTTAAAGAAAGTATTTCAACAGAAAAAGTATGATCTAGTCGGTAATGACCTTTCTTTAATAGTAGCAGTGCTATCCGTAATTATAACAGAAATGCTCATTTAGGCAGGGTTAGTATAAAAAGGAAATATTGAAGTGCAGAAGTGATGTCACCTGGCAGCTAAAAAAATCTTTGCATGCAAGAAAAGCTAGATTAACTGAAGATAGCTTGGGAGGGGTAAGTATAGAAACTTTAGTTACAATTCCCAAGGATCCTTCACTTCCTGTAGCAACAATAGAACAACATGAAATCACATACTTGGAAACTTATATTTGCAAGTTGCAACTATTCTGTAAGTTTTATCTATTACATACCTATAAACAAATGCTTTAAGTCATATCCAGTGTTATTTTTACGTAAAGAGTTAAGCATATCAAGCACATCACCATTTGCTAAAACAGCTTCCAGACCTATTATATGGTGTCAACAAAAAACACTGTAAGAGGAATGAAAGAGAAAATAAAAGGAATTATTGCCTACTTATATTAAGCATCATTTCCAATTAAAAAGAACAATCCTCACCAAGTACATTTCCATGAAGTGAACCATAACGGACAAGGCGGAAACCACCAGCATTAGTTGAAACATTTCCACCAATCTGACAGCTCCCTTTTGCACCTAAGTCCAGTGGCATAACAAATCTGAATGGAAACA